ACCCCTTTAAGTAAAGATCATGTTCCATGAAGATATTTAGTAAATTTCCTACAGTAAATATATAAAAACTTCATTTTTAATTAGTAATATGCAATACTAAGGAATTTATTTGGACAATTTTAAAGGCTTTTAAAATAATAAAAAAAAAAATTATATATACACAAAATAATGTTCTTTTTTAGCAGCATCATATGACCCCTTTAAATAAAGGCTGAAAGAGTTTTCTGAAGCTTAGTGATGGTGACGATAAAGTCATGTGACCATGGTGTAGTTAGTTCATAGCTTTTTACTTCTGAAGATTGCTTCAAAATTCATAAAAGTTGTGTTCGTGAAAATTATGTGAAGATTATCATGAAGAACAAAAGTGTAAGCATCATAAACCTTTGTTGGCCACAGAGCTTATTAATTAGTAATATGCAATACTAAGGAATTTATTTGGACAATTTTAAAGGCTTTTAAAATAATAAAAAAAAAAATTATATATATATTTTTTTGCACCCTCAGATTCCAGATTTTCAAATAGTTCTATCTCAGCCAAATATTGTCCTATACTAACAAACCATACATCAATGGATGTATGGTTATTTATTCAGCTTATTTAAAAGCTTATTTATTCAGCTTTCAGATGATGTATAAATCTCAATTTTAAAAAATTGACCCTTATTACTGGTTTTGTGGTCCAGTGTCACATTTGTCTTTGGTTTCTTGTTTTTTTGTTTTGTTTGCAGTACTACTTAATGTGCTGTTTTTCTTACCTTTCTCACAGTGTTCTCCTGTCTGCCCAGCGGGACAGTGGCACTTCCCAGTCACTGAGTCACATGGAGCTCCATTACAGTCACAAGACTGTGAACATCTAACTCCAAACTGTCCCACAGCACACTCTGTAAAAGATAGTACAAATAGTTTTGAGTGAAGAGAGCAAAATAAACCTAATACTGTTTGTTTGTACTTGAGCAGGAGGGGCATTTGGAGGTTCATGGAAAATTAGCTGGGAAGGAAATGTAAAATATTAAAATGTTTAAGAATATAAAAATTATTATTAAACATTATCCATAAGTTTATACATCTACTTTAACAGTAGGTAGAAAAAAGTAACAAACAATAAGGTAAACACTATACAATAGTATTCTACAGTGACAATACTAAAGAAGATATATATATATATTAAAAAGTATATTTGAAAGTTTTTAAAAATACAGTATTTAATTAGGAAAAAACACAACCTTTGTTATCATGCTTGATATTTTGCGACACAGTATAAATATGTATTTTACATGGTTTGTCAACTGCGTCAACTGAGCATCCAGAGAAATGAATGGACAGGTCAAGCAACCACAGAGGCTACGAGTGAAATGCCGAGGCAAGCCAAATCGACTCCCTTCTCACAGCCTGTTGTTCCTAATTGATGGCAGACATATCACTCTGATCGTTTAATGACTTCCAGGTTGTGAGGTTTGACTGCCAGCTCAGTGTTTCTGTCGAAATATTCTGGATATTTCCGAACCCCCTGCCAAGTGGACTGGACTCAGGCATGAAAGCTTCTGGGGCTCTGAACATCATGGCAGCAGGACAGTTTTATTTTATACTTGTCATTTCTCCGATCACAAATGCAGACATGGTTTTATGTTTACACGGCGCGATGCAACGCAACGCGTAAAAAGACAGTATAAGTCATTATAATCCACAATTATGTCCCCACTGGATGTAACAAATGCCTCGTTTATAATGGGTTTTCATGTTTTTAAATCATCGCTCCGGCCTGACCGGGCATCATCACAATGTGGTAAGGGGCGTAACATTTCCGTCACACGCTTGAGGTATTCGGCCAATCACAACGCACTGGATAGCTGGCCAATCACAGCACACCTCACTTTTTCAGGCCGATGACCTTTGTAAAAATCGACGCGTTTCAGAAAGGCGGGGAATAGAGGAGAAACAATAATGTACAGTGGAAAATAATGTGTTTTTTTAACCTTAAACCGCATAAACACATTTCATTACACCAAATACACAAAATAATGTTCTTTTTTAGCAGCATCATATGACCCCTTTAAATAAAGGCTGAAAGAGTTTTCTGAAGCTTAGTGATGGTGACGATAAAGTCATGTGACCATGGTGTAGTTAGTTCATAGCTTTTTACTTCTGAAGATTGCTTCAAAATTCATAAAAGTTGTGTTCGTGAAAATTATGTGAAGATTATCATGAAGAACAAAAGTGTAAGCATCATAAACCTTTGTTGGCCACAGAGCTTATTTTCTGCAATAATCCAAAAGCCAATGGAAAAATCTTGTAGGGTTTCTGTCGAGGGAACTAGGGTGATGGTAATTTCCGTGTTGGCCTACAAAAATATGAAATCAATGTTCTAGCAATACATGTTTAAACTTAGTTTTAGCATTTAATTATGTGGATTAAGCACTGTTTCCCCCTGCTGACCATGTCAGAACTGACCTGCAACCTCCACAAAGTTAATCAAAGACCCAAAAAATTCCTGTTATTCAAGACATTTCCCCTTTAAAATCTGTTTTGTAACATGTTGGGCTGCAATATTTATTCTAGATCTTCAGTTGAGTGAAATACAGGATCATATCTGTGTTAAGGGAGCACACTTTACCAGCAAGCCAGGAGATAAAGGTATTTCCATCATGTATTCCAGTGTTTGGCAGCTGTGTTTGGCCTGGCCCGTTTATGTTATTCATACTGTCAAACGATAGTCAGCGAAACTTACACAATGACTCTCAGAGATGGCCATAAATTCACTTTTATGGAAGCTCTTCTAGCACCATGTATTGCAAATGTCACTGCATTTCAGCTAATGCATTACTTTAACTCACTTCGGTCGCAGTGATCCCCGTGCAGACCGGCTGGGCACTGACGCTGACATTGGCCGGTCATGTGATGGCAAGACACTCCCGCTGGACACTGGCATTTTGATTTACATCCTGGACCGTAGTATCCACTATCACACTCTAAAAAACAAAGAACAACAGATAAAGCATGCTTGCCACACACAAGCTGTCAATCAAGTGAATGGTAGTCCCTGAACTGACCCAGGTTGCAGGTCTTGCCCTGATAGCCAGGCTTGCACACACATGTTCCATGACGTCGATGGCACTCAAGCGTGTTCTGCTGCACACACTGACACTCCGATGAGCAGCCAGATCCATACGACCACTTGGGGCAAGCTGGAAAAGACATTGTGTAGGACATTCTGTTTACAAGCAGGAGAAGCATCAGATGTTAAAAAGATAACATGATTAACCCAAATATGACATGTTCCTGGATCAACATCTTTGTTAGTTCTGGAACAACAATCTGAATCAATGAATCAGGTATTAAATTACATTTAATTAAATTTCTAACAATGAAACTAACAATGAAAAATCATTCTAAAACATTTATGAATCTTAATCTGAATTTGTTAACATTATTTAATGGACCCTAAGCTAACATGAACTAAAAATGAACAGCTGTATGTTTATTAACATCTCTAACAAAAATTAATCAATACTGTAACAAATGTATTGCTCACTGTTACTTAATTTTAGTTTAAACATTTTCTAATGGGACCATATTTTAAAGTGTTTTTAAAAATGTTTTAGCGGTTTTAAATGAAGAAACATTTGTGCCATATGATAGTAATCAAATAAGAAATTGTGAGACATTGATCATGTGTTGGTCTTTGTACAGCAATCAGATTTTCTTTCTTCCACTGAAGCTAAAGATGCTCTTTGGATCTTCTCAAATCATGCTGGAGAACATGACTATCAGGTTTTACACAAAATGAAAATCAGTGTTTCTGTCGAAATATTCTGGATATTTCCGTACCCCCTGCCAAGTGGACTGGACTCAGGCATGAAAGCTTCTGGGGCTCTGAACATCATGGCAGCAGGACAGTTTTATTTTATACATGTAAAAAAGCATATATACATATCAATTGAAGTAACTGACTGTCATCTGGCCCGGATATCATTAATAAATAAAAGTGTGCAGGTTCCAGTATGGCCACATTTGGTTTTGAACTCTTTCTTACCTTGGACGTTCCTTATTCTACACTTTTGCAGCATGTTATTTGTTAAACTGTATAAGATTTCTTTCATTTAAAAGAGTCTTAGCTTAGTTTTCCACTGCCATTTTCTGACCTCTCTGACCATTTGTATTAAACAGGCTGGTTTTACTACTGTGTATATGTACAGTAAACTGACACATTCTTGTAGTTCAGTTCATGTTCATAGTTTAAGGATGAGGGAGGGTGTGTATGCAACCATATTGGCATCTACCATCAAGTGACAGATGAATTCCCACTAAAATACCAAAATAACAAATTTTTTACTGCATGCACAGCCTTTGAAATCAACAACAAATAGGGGGGGAATTATCTCCTCCCTTTTAGAAGTTTATTTTGCTATTGAGCGCTGCAAGGATGATGTATAGTTATAGGCCTAAATCCAGAAATGAGTTAGCATTTTTAGCACTTCCAGTTCCATTGTCCTGAATTTAATGGATTTTTTTAAGGTTTTTTTGTTTGAATTCTTGAAATAAGGTATGTGTTTAACACAAACTCAAGACAATGTCACATTTTATTCTACAACACAAAATACACTAGTAATATCACCTTGTGATTTTTTTAAAAAGCTTTTACTAAAAAGCGGTTTCTAACAAGTGGCTAAATAGGACTACATAGATTGTTGGCAACATTAAACTTTATCAAGCCAAACAGGAAAATTAATCTACTCACTAGTCCGCTTTTACAACCTCATTGTATTTATAATCACACTCTTGCAAACTATTCAAACTCAAACTTTTACGGAAAATATATTTTAAAGGGGTCATATGATGCGATTTAAATTTTTCCTTTCTCTTTGGAGTGTTACAAGCTCTTGGTGCATAAAGAAGATCTGTAAAGTTGCAAAGACTAAAGTCTCAAATCCAAAGAGATATATATTAAACAATCTAAAAAAAAAAAAAAAAAGGCAAACCAGAAGCGTTTTCGTTAGTGGTCTCATACATCTGGACCTCGCTGTCTCTTTTCCCTTTGATTTTATGGTTTGGAATAGAATTAGGGCTTTGATTGCTTCATAGGAATGTTGTGAAAGTCCAGAAAAGGATGTTGATCGAGGAACATGTCCTACTTGGATAAATCACACTGTGCGAGTATCTCCTGGAGTTTTAAGTCACTGTAGGCGTCTGATATACTGCTGGACTTACGTAGGTGACAAAACCTGCCATAGAGTCCTGGATCACACAGACAAGCTCCATATGTGCGATGGCAGCGGCCGTTATTAGCACAGTTACATTTCTTGTTGCAGTGCTTTCCATATAGTCTCTTCGGACAGCCTGAAGAATGAGAATGACATACTCTAGCTTTAAATTAAAGATTAACACGATCTAAAATCATATGAATTTAATTTGAGACATCAAACACAAGGCATATTTCATCTAAACAGGCCAACAGTGATTGGAACAGCAGATTTGGCACAGATACGGTTTAATTTTATGCTGTAATCTCGCAGTCACTCACCGTCCTGGCACAGGTCTCCACTGACTCCAGGTGGGCAGCGGCACTTCCCACTAATCGGGTCACAGGTGCCACCGTTTTTGCACTTACAGGTGAATGAACAGTTTCTGCCAAATGTTCCCTCTGGACAGGCTAAATTGGACAAAAGAAAGTGTTATTTTATACAGAGTAATTATTTGAACAGTAGTAAGTATAGGCCCATACTACTGTTCATCCAAGAATCCTGAAAAAAAAGTGTCACAGTTTCCACAGAAGTATTAAAGCTGCACAACTGTTTTCAACATTGATAATAATAATGAATGTTTCATGAGCAGCAGATCAGTATATTAGAATAATATGTGTCTGAAGGATCATGTGACACTGAAGACTGGAGTAATGATGCTGAAAATTCAGGTTTGTCATCATAGAATTAAATTAAATTTACAAATATATTAAAATAGAAAACAGTTATTTTAAATTGTAATAATATTTCATAATATTATAGTTTTTACTGTAATGTTTAATAAATAAATGCAGCCTTTGTGAGCTTAAGAATCTTCTCAAAATATTAAAAATATCAAACTTAATGGTTATACAAAACATAAAATACACACTTTGGTTACAAATGATTGCTGTCCAACCATCTGGGCAGTCACAACCATCTCTGTCAATGTTACACAGTCCTCCGTTAGAGCAGTCTTCACATGTCAGGCTGCAGTCATGGCCAAACGTCCCATTCAAACACACTGTGACAAGACAAAGGTAAGGGTAACAAGAAGCAAGAGCCACCAATAATAAATAAAGACACTTGACGTATAACAACAGACCAAATTTCTCAGAGAGGGTGCTATCTGCCCGCAGCTCTCCAAAGCCATCATCGTCCTCGTAGTCGTGATAGAGCTCCAGGGGTTGTGGGTAGTCCTGTAGGAGCGTGAGATGAAGGAGAGGTCTCTCAACCACCGCTGGACTGGACAATTCCTCAACCGCTCTCTCCAGGGCTACACAGAACAGGGAGAGAGAAATAGATATATTGACATGATCAATGCTGTCTTGATGTTACACCAACTATGCAAGTAATAATGCTGTTATTATTACAAAATAAGCCTTGACATGATGATTAGATGTTGCTGGCTGGACAATATCCTGCTTATTGGACAGATATTTATCAAATACTAGATGCACATTCTTTATTCAGATGCCCTTTAGCTTTCACAGAGTGGTTGCTAGTCTTCCCAGGGTCCATTCAACAATATTAACTATATACATAGATAATGACAAAAACAAAGATAAAACTACTATAATCAGACCACCAAACAATACTTATTCCACAATCTTACAATAATATATTACATAATTAAATAATTCAAATAAAAAATACTGATTATTTCACTGTGTGGAAAAAAAGGCTATGTACTGTAGGAAATCAAAGCACAATTATGTAGAAAATTAATTACATAGTTTAGCATTTATTTTACAAAATTATTACTGGTACATAGTGGTCTGGAAGATCTGACTCTGACTGGTCTGTATTCTGAGGTCACCCTCAACTATTTATTTGACTGTTTATAAACTGTTTATATGTTTATACTGTGCTTTAACAGTCTCTTTCTACTCAAACAAAATAAAATAAAATACTTATTTTTTAAGCACCCATGAAATAACAGATAATGTATAGACAGCTGATTGTTATCACAAACATAACCCTTTACAATCTAAGTGATGCAACACATTGTGTTTATTTTGCAATAATGGCCAGATGGCTGTACATTAATCATTACAGATCTGACCACAGAATGTTGTGATTGACCAATCAGGATCAGGTATTCTAGAAAGCTGTGTATAAAGCAATCCTAATGCACACCACATACAATAACTGATATCCACTGTGCCCCCCATGGTGTACTTACGAATACAGGAGTGTCTGTCTTCAGCAAGCCGGTTTCCAAACTCACAGAAGCAGTGATAGGAGCCAGCTGTGTTCTGACACGTGTGCTCACAGCCCCCATTATCAGACAGACACTCATCCACATCTAGACACCAGTGGAAAACACAACACTCTTTATACAACGTGACTGCACTGTGATGTATCTAGTGCTGTTTATTATTACAGCACATTGCCAGTAACTGATATGTCTCCTTGGTCTTCTTTAAGAGTCAATCAGCAGTAAACAGGTTGTGAAGTACCGTCACATCCACATCCATCAGCGTTGAGTCTGTATCCTGCCCTGCAGTAGCACTCATAACCTCCGGGGTAGTTTGTGCAGTCCTGCTCACAGCATGAAGTTCCCTCCTCACATTCTTCCAGATCTAAAGCAAAAACAAAAGCAGTACAGGAAGCGAGGCCACGAGCCATCGGCGTGTATTAGGACTCTGTAGACCGAGTATTTATATAAGCACATTTCCAGTTATGAAGAGAGGTCAATATTTTGAGAGAACCTTCAGGGCACAGCCAGAAAAACACAAGACCTACAACTGCTGAGATCCAGCTGGCTGACATTTGCTTTTGCAGGAAATAGTCATTAATATTGTTTGAGGAATGATGATTTTAAAGATTTATCAGTGCAGCTGGATGTACACTGAATCCAAGAGATGGATTTCATTGGAGTTATTCTGTAAAACTTATTTATGTATCTGTCTGTACACCTGCACACTCACCCAAACAGGTTTTGCGGTCCTCCACAAGCTGATAACCCTGGTTACAGCTGCAGACGGGTCCAAGTGTGTCATGCTGACAGTGGTGTGAACAGCCACCGTTATCTGAGTCACAACTATTAACGATCTCTATTTCAATACCTACAGACAGTCAATAATAAAAAGGAACAAGTGTTCAAAAATTATTATGAACATACAGTAGCATGAATGTCATTGTATTAGATAATAAAAACACTAACTATGTGTCATTTACTTCAAAATTGATTTTGTTGGACACGTTTTGGTTGTCAAATGTTAATGGACCATATCATTGTAGTTAATAATCCAATTTCAAGTGCAAGGCCAATATCGCTGATACCAATACTAAAAGTACTGTTATAGGTTCAAGGTTTTCTCCTCAACAAAAAACTAAACTAAACTAAAATCATGCCCATTTATTTATATATCACGTACCCATAAAATAAGCAGATAATGTACAGTACTTCTAAGCTCGTCTTTCAGAAGTTTTGTGCGTTCAGATAAGAAACAGTTTCTATCCTAACATTATTTACTACTAATTTTTGTCACTCATTATCTATTTTATTGCTAAACAAATAATATATACTACCATTCAAAGGTTTGGGGTTAGTAAGATTTGAAAGAAACTAATGCTTTTATTCCACAAGGATGCATTAAATTGATCAAAGTGACATTAAAGACATCGATAATGTTACAAGATTCACATTTCAAATGAATGCTGTTCTTTTGAATTCCTCTTTAAAAATCACTGTTTGCACAAAAATACTGATATTTACATTGACGATAATAATGTTTCTGGAACACCATGTCAGCATATTGGAATGATTTCTAAATCATTGTGACACTGAAGACTGGATTAATGTCTGCTGAAAATTCAGCTTTGCCATCACAGGAATAAATTACATTTTAAAATACACTCAAACAGAAAACAGTAGGTTTGAACTGTAAAATTATTTCACAATATTTTGTTTTTATTGTATTTTTGATCAACTAAATGCAGCCTTGGTAAGCATAAAGAGTTCTTTCAAAAACATTAAACATGATACTTACCAACCCCAAACTTTAATGGTTGTGTAGTTAACCAATAACCAATGTAGTTAACGAAAGTATCAATATTTCACACTTGATCCACCAATCCCTACTTTTTGGGACCACTGTTGTATGTTTCTGTGCTTCTCTGAACCGTAATTAAGTTTAAGGTAACACACGGTAGCATTTCCTGCCATCAGAGCCCAGCTCGTATCCTGGATTGCAGATGCATGAGAAGGAGCCCGGAGTGTTCCGGCAACTGTGAGCACACGCTGCCAATCCTGTTTCACACTCATCGACATCTGAAACACACCAATTACAAGTTACTGATGACATGTCGCCTTTTTCTATTTATACAGACATCTAATTAGATGAGAATCCCACTCTGGATTTGTTGAGTCACTTTTAGTCAGACAAACAGAAATTTCTGCCTCTTACAATCACTTAAATGAAAATCAATGAGTGCAACCTCTCAAGCGCTAACAGGTTCCATCATGGACTTCAGAGTGGAAATCTCTGCTCACTGTCTCACTGAGAAGATGAACCATGTTCTACAGCTTTCAGCCGTCTAATCAAACACAGTGCTTCCACTGTTCTCACACCATGGGAAAGAAACTTCTTTAAAAACTTTGGAAAAAGAGGATCCAGCAGATGAGAGACTTTCCATGACAGTGTAACTGAACCCTAGCGCAGTGGAAAAGCCCTTCACTGCTGCTGTCAGAAGCTTTTACCTTCACAGTTCTTCTGGTCCGGGGCCAGCATGAAGCCTTGGTGACAGCTGCACACAGCATGACCGCCATCACTGCGACATAAGTGCACGCAGCCGCCATTCCTCTCCGCACATGGGTTCCTCACTGAAACACATGCCGTTAAAGTCAGATCTTATAAGTAATTTCACTGGCTGTCTCCCTCACGCATACAAACTCTCATTATCTTGTCAACACAATCCATGTAATAGGCTACACATACATAATTTCTGCAGACTTTCTCTATCTGAATTCCCATACTTCCCTGGCCAGCTTTGTTGCCTCAGTCACATTACGACATAAAACACATCATACATATACAATGCAGTTTTGAGACACTTTGGAGGACAGATTTTAGAAATAAGAAAAGAAAAACGTATGGCGTCATATACTGCACTTGGAGAGCAACAAATAATGTCAGGTTTATATCAGCCATAAACTTACTTTTCAGCACGTTTTTATAGATTTGGGGGAGCAAATCTGGGTCATATGAACTGTTTAAAACCAAAGAAAAATACACATTAACTAAGTACTAATAGTACCCTGGTAATTGCATGACTTTTAGAAGTACTTGGAGTACCATGTAAATACTATGAATATGATATTCATTGATATACTTTTCACTGTTTTTGTGCATTCCAGTGGTTGGGATTTAACAGTGATTATTTCTGCAATTTACATATTACGCCAGTAGGTGGCAACAAGTGACTGTTTTTATGAGTGAATAACTGATTCATTAGCTCAACCGATTCATTCGACACTGATTTATTAAGGAATGGAACAAATGGCTCCCATTGTCCAAATATGCCTATAGTAGATGAAAAACAGTATGTGAAAAGAGTAGTATGATTCTAAAATGTGCATCTGATTAACACTACTATCTCATGAAGTAAGCAACTGATGCTGTCGGTCATGTGACAACATGACGACGAACGTAGTACATCAGGAATTCATTTTAAACTATATAGTACATACTTTTTTACAGTTTTCAAAGTAAGCTCTTCATCAGATATAGTATACTCAGACTGCATGTGATTTTGGACACAGCTACTGTCTTTAAGAGTCATTGAATCATTCGTTTAAGTGATTTGTTCAAAATCACAAATTCACTTAGTAACGCCATTACTGTATCTTGCTCAGAGATGCGTATAACTTTTAAATTCTGTTTTGGCTCCATGTTGAACTCTTTTTTTACTGGCGGGTCAAAAAAGGGAACAGGCAAAATGCATCTAAAAATTAACAATTAACAATACTGAATCGAAGTTACTCAATATTAACGTCTTGTTTATTTAACTGTTGTATAAAAGCAGTTTCACAATCATGTTTGTCTGAATATCAGTACTCTTATACCTTATTTTTTAACACAAATGTACAAGACATCCGATTTACTATAGGTAAATAACCAGAAAAATAACAATTTGCAGTTAAATTGTACAATTATTTATCATCCCTAACCATGCTACAAATCAATGTACTATGGTATTACCATCGCTGTAGCATTGCACAGCCATAGTGTTTTAAGGACTGTCTAAATATTAAACTAGCACAGAGACTTTTGTCCCAGGACTCATCTGTACTTTGATCACAACAGTATGAAAACAGTTTAATTGCAATGTTATCCATTTGCTGAATTGCACTGCTCTCTCATGAACACACACAGATGCTAGCATGTTTTTGTCAATGTCAAAGAGATACTAGTTACACAATAAGACACACATTCTCTCTGTCCCTTGTTCTTTCCCCTTGTCTTCACCTAACTCTCAGTGGTAACACTTCATAGGGGAACAATTGGCTCTGGTAAGTGTCAGGACATTGGATCTGTGGGGCTGTGTACAGTGAATGTGAATTTTGGCAGACACGCTGGAATTGACACAGTGTTCGCCAAGATGATGATGCTGTAGTCTGAATAATATAAGTGTTTCTCTGTGAAAACAGCTATTTAAAGCAAGCCAAAATGCACAGCGGTTTCAGATATTGCTGTTCAAGTGACTCACACTGCACTAACTGAGGTCTGTTTTCAAGTTCATAGTTACTGGAATCCTTGACCCTGTTATTAAGGTTAGTAACTCAGTCATTCTTGAGACGTGGGACAAAAATTGTTGGTTACATGTGAAAGTGTAATCTGTCTGCTAACACGAGAATGTGTTTTGAAATGTTAAAAATATCTTGAATGCTGTTAAAGATAAAGTTGAAATTATATTACACAGTCCACGGTAAAAAAGCACATTTTGTTAAAAAAGAGAAAAGTTGGGAGGTTGTATCAAAGCATAGCTCAGTAGCTTAGTACATATAAGATACATAAATGTAGTTTCATTTGTCTGAGTACAAGGTCTTATTTTTTCAATTTTGCACCCTGTTTTGTCCCACTTCTCAAGAATGACTGAACTGATTTTGAGCTGTACCACTTTTTGAAAGTATACAAGTTCAGTCTAAAGTTTGTCATTTGTGATTTAAGACACCAAGTCAAAGTATACAAGTCAAGGGTCAAGGGTATCTCTGAGAAAACAGCACATCTGGGTTTTAGAGATGTTGATCACTTTCTTTAGCTTCCACCTTTCTGCCAAGAACCCTTCCATCCATACTTCCAAGAGCTACATACTGACTTTATGACATAGCCTTAGACCAAAGCTTTTCCTACTTTCATCCTCTCGTCAGCATGCTCTTTGACTAACAGCATGTGATATGCACTGCCGGGACATTTTATGGACGACATCATGAACATAACAGAACTTTCAGAAGGTAAAGAGTTTAAATAAGCAACAAAAATAACTGCTTACACCCTGCTGAAACGACCGGCTTTGACCATCATGAACTTCTACAGTATACTGGTCCAGACTGGTTAGCACTAGGATCCAAAACATACTGAATGATATATGACTTCTGATTACTGTACTGTAAAGTACTGTACTAAACTATTAAGATTACTATACAAAACATGAAGCTAAGTAAAACAACAACATTAACTGTTACGGTAAGTTGAACATGGAGGCTTGCTATTTTGAAACAGCAAACAAAGCATCATTTGATGTTAATTTTGGTAGACTTTCTTACATTTCTTGCAAACTCAACAAAACAGAGCACAATTAAGACAAGCCGCTGTTAAATGTCTAATTTAGATAAATGAAGAGAAAGACTCACGTCTGCAGCGCTTTCTATCAGCTGTGAGCTGGGACCCACGTCTGCAGCGGCACTGGAAGTGAACTGGAGAAAGTTGGACACATTCATGCTCACAGCCTCCATTATTCACTGCACAGGATAGGACAGCTGAAGGAGGAATAAGGAATAAAAGAAATGACTGTTAAGAGCCATTCACTGTTCAAAAAAAAGTGTGTTTATACACAATATAAGTCTTTACTATCACTTTTTATCAATTTAGCACATCATTGCTGAATAAAAGCATTAATTTCTTTCAAAAAGGAAAGAAAGAAAAAAATGTACTGACCCCAAACTTTTGAACGGTAGTGTACATTGTTACAAACAATTCTCTCTATTTTGAATAAATGCTGTTGTTTTTGACCTTTTATACAAGAATCCTTAAAAAAAAATAAAAAAAAGTATTACAGGCTCCAAAAAATATTAAGCAGTAAAAACTGCTTCCAACACTGATAATAAATCAGTATATTAGAATGTTTTCTGAAGTATCATGTGACACTGAAGTCTGGAGTCATGGCTGATGAAAATTCAGCTTTGACATCACAGGAATAAATTAAAGTATATTAAAACAGAAAACCGTTTTTTTTTTTTTTGCAATAATATTTCACAGTATTATTGGGGTTTTTTTCTGTATGCTTGATCAAATGAATGCCTCCTTTATGAGCATAAGAGACATCTTTAAAAAAAAAAACACTGTTCTCAAACTTTTGAACGGCAGTGTATGATACATTTACACATGCACAGTGCACACACACACACACACACACACCACATGTCTGGTTTACTATCCTTGTGGGGACTCTCCATAGGCATAATGGGTTTTCTGCTGTACAAACTGTATATTCTATCACCCTACACCTAAACTAACCCCTCACAGGAAACTTTCTGCGATTTTACATTCTCAAAAAAAACTAATTCTGTATGATTTTATAAGCTTGTTTACCCATGGGGACCTCAATTTAGGTCCCCACGGTGACACGAGTCTCCAAGAGTTGGTGTGTATTCAGGTCTAAGTCCCCACCAGGATAGAAAATCAAGACTCCCCACACACACATTTATATATAGTATATTTACATTATGATCACTTATTTGTCTTTTACACACACATAATGAATGAAATTCTATGAATTAAAATTCAAGCAAATTCTGTCAGGCTTTTTTTACACTCTAATTAGACCTTGCAGCGTAAGACATTAAACTGAAAAACAATTGTATTATTCTTGGAAGAAAATAATTAAGAACTGTCAGTACTTTGTTTGCATAAGAGTGCACTCACTTTATATAATACTTTGTGGTAGCACCTTTGGCTTTAATTATATCAGTAATTCTGTTTATATTGGACTCTGTCAATGTAGCACATCTGGATTTTCTTTTTCTTGCAGAAAAGTTCAAATTGCAAGAAGACTTCCAGTTCACAGTCTGGTGTGGGTCAGTTCACAGATTTGTTACAGATCTGAAGCCTGTCCACTGACACCAACGCCATTCCTGGACACTGATCTTTCTTTTTTTAAACAGTTTCTGTTTCAGCAGACTGTGGGATTTGGTGTATCATTATTTAACTTTCTGGCAGCTTTCTGGCAGAAGGCAGTAGTTTTGCACAAAAACATGTTTATATATATTTTTTTAATTTCCTTATGTCATAACCAAGCACCTGGCCCTGCTAAAGACAAGAAGCTCATAACATGACCACCACAGCTCAATTTATTCATTTATTATCTACTTCATTTGACTTGACAGTTTATCTTTGAACATAATGTCCAGTTTGCTTGCTTTTATGCAATGCTGTAACCTGCTGAATATTACATCAAGGTCTGATATGAATCAATTTTAGCTTTTACATGAATAAAAACTGTTATTTCAATGAAAGCGTGTAGATTTTATTTTCCACTTTTATTACAATTAGTGTATTTTATTAGTAGATTTCAATATCCACTCTTTAAATAAATATAAATGTGGAACAATCATTGAACAGTCCTGTCGAAAGCATTCTTCACTAATCATCCAAAATAATACCGAGCAATTATTTTCAGAAGCTGAATCATTTAGTGAAAACAGTTCACTGCAAACTGACCTTTTTTTCTCAGATGACTGAAATGAAGCTTTGATGGAAAAACAAACAGTCTCTCATCGTACTCAAGTGTTTGGATTGTGATGCTTGGCGATGTCGCCGTTCTTCTGTTTTTCAAAAAGGATAGTCATCTCAGGACGGAAACCTATCATAATATTCAGTAAAATACCACTAAATAGCTTTGTTCTGCGCTATTTAAAAGCCATCTGGTGTGGTGATAAGGGAACGGTGAGCGTGAATGTTTGTGGTTGATAACCGACATTGAATACACTCTGAATGACCAGGAACCTGTAATGTGTAATCTTAGATCTTGAATGCCTAGCAAAGATGCCTTTGGAGTAAATCCTGAGGTGTGTAAGATTTCAGGTTAAAGACTGGAGCATTCACTCTTTCATTATCTCGTTTCTAATGATGTAGCGGGGGGCGGATGATGTCCTATTGTCAGCGACCTTTCAGTGACCTTTCAGTCTGTCTTCTCCACCCTTTTCCTCTTTCATCAAACCGGGTCAGACAAAGATTACAGCTGAGCTCCAGATAAACACACTGTACAGTTAATGTAGTCTCATTCAGTCAATTCTGCACTCAAAAATGTCAGTCTTCACAGAGGCTCTCTCTGCAAGTATGCTGTTGTGCTGCCGTTAATACAGTTGTTAATACAAGTGCTTCTGAGGCTCAAATAATCACTATATTTTGCATCAAATCCTTAAAAAAGTTTTATTTGAGGCACTAAATAAATAGCAAGTAAAACATATCCAAGAGAAGAACTGCATGTTTTGTTTTGTTTTCTAAATGACTCAGGTTTGTAGGTTAGGCTTACTACAGGTTATTTCGATTTTTTAAGGTTTTTGAAAGTCTCTTATGCTCACCAAGGCTGCAATATTTGTTTGCATTATTATACTGTTTTGTAAAACAGTAAAACAATATAATGAAATAATATTACAATTTAAAAATAACAATTTTCAATTGTATTTAATTCTTTTATTACAAATGTATAATGTAATTTATTCCTGAGGCAAAGCTGTATTTTTTTTTCAAGTCTTCAGTGTCACATGATCCTTCAGAAATCATTTTTTATGCTTAAGAAACATTTCTCATTACACATTGTTGCTTAATATTTTAGCATGATTTTTTTTTGTTAACATTTTGCAAGAATATTTGTATTTATATTTTTTTGATGAATACAATAATAATTATTTGAAATTGTAAACTTTTGTAAGAACATAAATATCTTTCTGATCAGTTTCATGCATTTTTTTTCATGAAGTAAGCTTTGAAGTGAAAAAAACAATTAATCGTGTTGTAGGATATATAGGAACTATTTCCCATCTGAACGCACACAAAAATTAAAGCTAAAAAGACTTAAAAGTTTATCATGTTCTGTAAATCTTGATCCAAACCTTTGAACAGTACTGTATGTCTATGACATGTTTAAGTACTTATTACTTTTAGATGGAAAGACATTCTGATCACAACGTCTATACATATTTTAACTATTTTTAAGTGTATTCTATATAACCTTCAATAGAGACTGCTGAACATTTATTTGAAAAAAAATAATAATAAAAATTCACACCAGTCAATCGTTTTGGAATAATATATTTCAGATAACCATGCCCCTAACTGACACTGACACACACAAAAAAATCCAATGACAGTCACAATCGCACTTACAGTATATATAGGATCACTGTTAAAATGTCTCACCATCACAAGGCGTATAATACTCCAAACCACAAATCTTAAGCCATGAACAGTCTATATTTCAGCATTGAGACTAAATATATACTGTCATAACAGGCATATCAGTCATCGTCATTGTGGAGGAGTGAGCTGTCTGTCCTCAAAAATCCTTCCATATAATATTTGCACACTCTCCAAAACATATTTAAGAAATGTCATATAAAATCATATAATGAGATAATTGTCTCTCTTTTTAAATAAATTATCAAATAAAAGTGATAATTTCTTGAAACAGGATAAGTTTTTGGAAAAGTGTAGTGGGAAAGCGGTTGAAAAAACTGAAAAATCTTTACATTATGAGACTGTGTCTAAAGGATAATGATAATATTTCTTTTGGCAGAAAATCCTTGGATGAATTAAAAATAATTAAGGTTTTACCTGTCGGTCATTACTCACAACTTAATAAGCTTCTGGCATGAAGTATCAGCAAGATTACCTACTTCTCAAATGACTGTTAACCAAAACCAAATGATCCTGGATAAAACCCTCACTGATTAATTAGTGGCATCTGTTTCTGGTTTATTCTAGTAGTGTGTTCCATCCCACTCAGCTTTGGTTCAGATTGTGGTTCTACAGAAGAGTTGGGTTGATAGCGGAAAAAACTGATAAACGAGCCTGAAGCCTGACTGGAGCTCTCTTGGGAAGGTAAACATTTAGCTGCTGATTCAGCTAAAACAGAATGAACGGCAACGCTGCTCAGACTCTCAGCAAAGTGAACAGATCCCAGAATGCATCTGGAATATAAATGTCATTTGCTTTTTTCCATGTCAAACTGCCTTGGAAATTGAAAAGAATGTTCTAGATTTTTTTTTTTTTTTTAGTAAATACAACAGCATTTCAGTGCTATTATTGTTAAAACTAAACTGAAATAAAGATGAAATCAAATAAAATATCAATATTAGATGATAAACAGATCCCAGAATGCATCTGGAATATAAATGTAATTTGCTTTTTTTCAGGTCAAACTGCCTTGGAAATTGAAAAGAATGTTATAGGTTCAATACAAGTTGAGCTCAATCATTAGAATATGTGACATGCAGTTGATTATGACAGAAAAAATCTGACTTGTTTTTTAGTAAATACAACAGCAATTCAGTGTTGTTATTTTTAAAACTAAATTGAAATAAAGCTGAAATCAAATAAAATATAAATATTAGACGATAAACTGAAACGTGAAAAACTAACTGAACTAATTTTAAATACTAAGATTACTAAAACTAATATAAAAATAAATTATATCTAAATAGGAATATTAAAAAAAAAATTACTAAATTACTAAAACTTAAACTGAAGTTCAAATGAAAACTTCAAATATAAATTAAAAGCTAATTCGAAATATAAATAAATACTATAAGAGTATATATTTTAAAAAACACTAAAACAACACTGCAGCAGTACCATAGACTTCCACTGTCTGTCTTGTTATTTGCTTGTTGAAAGTATTCTATGGTAACGAACAGCATATCACAGACGCTATTGAATAATCTGATGCCATTTCACATTCCTTTAATGATTTATTCAGTAATCTGATAGAATTTCATGTACTTTACACAAATAAAACTCGATGTTTGGAAGTAAACTGGCAAATCTCAGAGCCAAGAGTCCCAATGAAACATTTCACCCCATGAGCGCACACAGAAAACCCCAAGATTATAACCATATTACAAGGGAAAAAAGCTATAACATTTCCAAATCATGTCCAAATGAAAGTCTTTTTCAGCTGACATGTGGCTTCCCAGCTGGAAGATGAAGCACAGGGCTCATTGTGTGGCATGGCATTGGCTTTGAAGAAGGTATTTGACTGGAATCCTCATTCGTAATTTTTATTTACTATGTTGATTTAATGTTTTCAAAAGTTTCTATAAAGAAATTCCTGAGCTCTGGAATGGTTTTTATTATCGCCACATATTTCAAAAACAAAACCCCTACACAAACACCATTAGCTAAATTGATATGCTTGCAAGAACTTTTTATTCCCACAGGGTCTTTTCTTTGAAAACTGAAAACACCTTCTACACCACAGTCACATTTAAATAGATGGATGTGATGGTTTGATAACGGGCCTGGCAAGAGAACAGTTGGGTCCTGGTCTGGTCTATCTCAAAGGTCCATCACAAACTCACCATGACAAGACTCGTAGAGTACAGAACAGTAGCAAACATTCCACTATTAAGAAAACAAGAGGCTCTTTGATTCCCCCTCATACACAGAGCTCAAGGTGGGGACCCCTGCTAGCTTTAAAGAAAAGGCCGTGATGATTACAGTCTCTAAACCTTTGGATGCAGGCCAGTCTGTCAGTGACCTCTCTCGACCCCCGAACAACTCACCTATGCAGGTGCGGCCGTCAATGTGCAGACGAAACCCCGGGTTGCACTCGCAGTAGACCGAGCCTCTGGTGTTCACACACCTATGCTGGCAGCCCCCGTTGTGAACCTGGCACTCATCAATATCTGAGGAGCAAAAAGCAGACACACGAGGCCACAAGTTAGAATGTGGTTTGACTCTTGCACAAGTTTTCAAAGCATTCACCTAAGAAAACAAAGCATGTCATTCTAACTTCCTAAATTAATTTATCCACTCCAAGACATATGAAAAACCATTTATTTTGCTGTGTCAGATGCTGCTCTGTTTCTTTTTAACTGAAGTCTCTCTAAGCTCCAAAATAAATAGCTGGCAGCCCAGATACCGTTAATACACTGAATCAAAATAAAAAATTTGGTTTTAAGTCATAATTTTTGTCCTTTGATGAAACTGAACCAATATTTTGTAATTTATCATACATTTTATGAAGTTTTAATCCATAAATTTAGGTGGATAATAAAACAGAGATAATAAATAATTCATTTTATTCCAATCTTTTTAGATTTTTCTTAAAAAAAACAACAACAAAAACATTAGTGCATGGTTATTATCCTGTTATTTACACACACACACACACACATATTTATTACACTAAAACATTTTTTCATCCTCTTTTGTGTTTCACGGACAAAATTAATATATGATGACAACTTTTTTGGGTGAACTATCCCTTTAAAACTGCTTGTAGGCAATTCAAAAAGTTATTACCTTAAGTGCACTTATGAAACTGTGGAAATATGCAATCTGCACATTATAAAGATCTTCAGGTGAATAAGCTCTTTGTGTCCTGTCTGATTCAGGCCATGTGCCTTACAATCACCCTGACCTTTAAAGTAGTATTGCCAATGCTTAATTTAATTACAGTAACAGAGCTTTTCCCAAAGCAGAACGATCAGGTAAGGATCAATGTTGACAAGCTGAAACACATGATTCATTTTTGAGAACTATGTATGGTGCATTTAAAAGGTCAAAACACTGCCATAAAATATGGCAGCAGCATAATATTAAAGTGAGATTGAATAGATCTGACACTTTGAAAGGAAAAGCAAGCATGTTTGACGCAATAGTTAACCTTCATTACTCCCATTTCATACTCATTTTACATTCATGACCCAGTGGAATCCTCTGAGTAGCCTATTTAAGGAAAAGATGCAGAGGGGAGATTATGGATAGGTGTAGTACAGGTGCAGTGATGATCTTGATGAAGAGACATCAGAGATCTGTAGCAGGCCTGTGAAAGCCCTGCTGGTGAGAAACTGTCATGCCAGCAGACTGTGTCAGTGAGTGAGTTATGAGCTCTGTGCTGTGGGCTGCAACTTTATTCATGTCAGCTTTAAGTGATATTATATGGATCTGTAATATCAGTATGAACTTACTAACATACACATGGAACTGATTCAGAGAGTAGATTTGTTATTTGTTTCCATATCTATTTCACTATTAATCTAAATTAAATTATAATTCGATGTTAGTTATAGAAAAATAAAAATGAAATTAATTGTTTAAATATATTACACATATGGATTTATTAAAAAGAAACTTCCAAAAGTTTTTTTTTTTTAATTTACACTGAAAACTAAGAGCATTAAGGGTTTGAGTGTAAATAATTACATTATTTTCATTTTTTATTTTAACTACCATTCATATACTCCCTTCACAGGGCTGCTTGTCCTATTGTTTTATATATCTTTCCAAGAGATATAGTGAAAGAGCCTTGAGAAAACTTTCTGTAGTACTTGTTTTAATCCTCTTTATCTATAAATGAATTGGCTGATTAACTTTTTGGACAAATGAATGGAGGACTAAATAGTATTTTAAAGTAAGCAAACTTTTTCAACCTCCTTAGAGCATAATGGCCAATATTCTGTAAGCAAGAATTATTTCCAGGACAAATGATACCAATACATTAAAATATAGTTACTGTAGAGCCAGAGAGACTTTTAGCTGTTGGATGCATGGCAAAAACAGAAGAATCCAAGGAGAGGATCATATATATGAGTTACTGCAAACTATAATGAGGTGTCTCCATAACTGCTTATATTTTGGAGATAAATTGAAAGAAATCAGATTATTTATGCATTAAATATTCCAGTTTGAACTCCACAAGAACTCATACTATTATAAAATACGTTCCTGTGATGAATTAATGCATGTGAAGGTGGTTTAAGTTAATATAAGCATGTACCGTTCACCTTCAGATCATCATATGTGTATAAAAATTTAATTTTTAATTAAATTTTTAATTAATTAATTTAATTTTATACACATTTTTTTATTATTATACTCCTATACCTTTTGTTCTTTAATATTTTGAATTGTTTTTAGCTTTATCTTTTGTTTTTCATTTAAATGTTAAGTTTTGAAATTTTGTTGTATGCATTTGTCATTTTTATTTAATTTCTTTATTTTTTAAATGTGTATAAGTACTATTTATAAAGTTGTAGCTTTTAGTTTTGGATCTGTTTTTAGTTGTTTTAATACCACAATTGATTGCTTCTGTTGTCCTCATTTGTAAGTCGCTTTGGATAAAAACGTCTGCTAAATGACTAAATAAACAAATAAATAAAATAAATAAATAAAAACTTTTTATTATAGCTTTTATATTTCATGCCTTAAATGATCATCTCAAGCAACCATACCACTAGCCAGGAAGATGGAAGTGATGGTCCACTTGACTGCAGCGGTTTTACTCATTAAGACTCAACCTTAAAACTTTAAATCAGGCATTTAGACAGACCGTCTGACCCTGAGCAGTTCTGTTTAATGAAAGTGCTTTGATTAAGTGCAATAACAGCCCTGGAGCAAAGATTAAAGGTCCACTATGATTAATATGTGAGGAATAATTCAGCTCCATGCACTTAAACTAGAGGAAGGCATGTTACATTATAGCTAAATATGCTAGTCCACAGAAAAATGATCTTAGATTGCAGATTTATAGTTATTATAATAGTAAATCAATATTGTAATGTTGTGTCTTGTTGCTAGGCAGATTATTTTCCTCTTTGTTATGGACTGTTGTTATTAGCAAAAGCTTAAAGCTAATCTACAAATTTAAATCTCAAATCAGTATTTTATGTCCACATATTTATTTATTTGGTAAGAAGCCATGAAATATGTGGGATAACGTCCAGTCAGCTGGTCATTATCCCAAAATAAACTCCTTCAGGCTGAGCAGACCGGCTGGCTGTACATTATCTCTTAGTTATTTAAACCACAATGACATATAACAACAAATCTGGTTTAGATTTGGATGACAGTTAATACAGCGGTTATAGGCTGGTTTTCAATATTTCAATATGTAGTTTAAATAACTGTTACTAATGATGGATAATTTCTGTTTTGTTGCCAGACAAACAACTGCAAATGGAATGTAATAACAGACAGCCAAGAACTAGATGAAATCCATATTTGATTTAGAACAAACAAGTAATTATCTGACACAAGGGACACATGCCTGATGTGACATAAACAGAGGAGAAAATAGCACCATGAATATAAAGACGTGAATAGGAAGACTTTTTACATTAAATATTAAGTGTGTACACTGAAGAAAAAATTTGGCAGTGAAACAATTTTCACTCAAAAATTACAAGTTCATTTCACAAATAATTACAAAGAAACGGCAAGTAACACAGGTGTGGAAGTCCTTTTTTTTACCACAGCCTTTTTTCTCTATTTTCTCTAGTCATATAACACCAAAGTTTAAATAAAAATCATTTTTTCTGCATAGACAACTTTTATTGAAACCCCATCTCGCCAGTGATGAAATACCTCTTTAATATGCAGAAACAACTATAAGTAAGACATTTGTTAAATTATTTTGGTGTGAGCATCTCAACCAGCCTGACACAGCAACACTGGCTCAACCAATGGCGTGAGATTGGGGGTGGGACTATCTGCTTATCCAACCAATGGAAGACAGAAAATGGTGTAAGAAGGAGTTTGATTGTTCAACTCTGTGTTTTCCTTTAAGTTTTATGAATAAAGATAAGATGATAAGATACTGTGAAGGTAATCAAGACCACCTGTCCAGGAAAGCCTGAAGGAAACTTAATTACAAGAGTGCTGTACACAACTGCAAAACTGAGCTCAGACAGAGGAGGAACTGTGGTCCATTCACAGCAGCAGAGAGTAAATAAACAGAGAGATTTTAAATGAGACTTACAAAATGCAGCAATTCATATAAGAGCACAGATGTGGAGCCAGCAGCAGCCCATGGGCTAGACCCCTGCAATTCATCACAGAATGCAGGAAAACATTGAAATTGAGTTTAATTATGTGCTAATAATTAAATAGTCAGACAAATTAAAAAAAAAAAAGTTCTCATTTGCTTTAATGACAGCGGCACTCAAGCTGCATGAACTCCACAAGTTCTTCCACAAGAGCATCTTGAGCTTCAATGGAAGCAAAAACATTTGACCAAATGTACAGAGTCACTGACATGATCAATGCCACAAATTTGCTTAGTGACCCAGACAAAGTACAGAACCTGACATTTCTTTTTCAATTTATTTCCAGGCTAAAATCTCAGAACTTCAATGTGGTCTCAGACTTCTGGATCCCACAGAAGACTGTGCACAAGGTAATAGTGAAACCCACATTTCAACCAAAATAACAAATGTTGTGTTGTTTGGCCCTCAAAGTCCTGCAGTTATGTCAGGTACAGCTGGGACACTGCAATTGAATCAGAAGGTAAAACCAACGACATATGTGAACTTGAACTCCTCAGGTCTACAGGTTAGAAAAACAACTGCTTCTTATCACGATAACCCTGAGTTGAGATCACAGACCTTTGCTTTGAAGTTTAGCAAAGATCTGGCTTGATATCACAGATGTGAGCCACATTTTAATCTTGCATTACTACCTGTATTACAAACATTACAGGCTTGTGTGAAGACCGTCATATTCGGTTTGCCAGGGAAGTGCAGCTTAAAAATGCATAGTTCTGTGGTGCCAGAATCTAAGTCTGTCTTCCACATTGTTGGAGTAAAGAAGGCACATCAAATAGCAAATCAGGAAGCAAAATGTTAGTCCGATATTCATAAATAAAGAGGATCAGAGGAATTCTTAGGAATGAAAAATAATGGAC